TAAAACCTGCAATACGTGATATCTGCGCTGCTCAGTATATTACCCATGGCTGTATATTTCCAACCCAGTACCCATAAACTGCATTTTACAAACAGCATCATTTGTATGAGTGTACAGTTTCCTCAAACTCATAACAATTTATGGTTCTTTGAAATACATGCAGATAGTCAGGTAAATCTAAAGCATTTTAAAGCATTTTAAAGAAGATAATACACCTCTTGCTTAAAAAGGTAAGAAATTAGGAAGCAATTATTACTAAAAGAATAATGGGGACTGCAATTGCTATATACACAGAATAAACTCTGCAGGATAAAATTAATAGTAGATAAAAAAGAGAATTACCTCAATTATCTCAATTATTTAAAGAAACACACTAAACAAATAAAGCATGTATGTGTCCTCTTTTTTCATTTGATAAAAGTGCCAATTGCAATGGAAATTGGCACTTTTATATATGAACTTTGTTGCACCTCCATAGCTGTCAATCAGCCAGCTGGTCCTGCTACTTCCAGGTTGGTTACCTCCATGAGGTACACCAAGGCATTGATAAGGGAGAGCAGAAAAGCCGCAGGAGTTCCTTCTGCTCACCTCCCATAGCAAAGGCAGCGTATGCACTTCTAGTGCTGGCTATGGAGTATAGGAATGGAGTGAGATGGGAGAAAAAATTATTTTAAAAAAGGTCCCTCCCTCACCTGTCAATCAGTTCTTTGACTGACAGGGAGAGCAGGAGAGACCTCCTACTTGCATGTGCTATGGTTACTATTCTTATTACCTACCAGCCAGGCCCGGACTGGCCATCGGGCACACCGGGCAAATGCCCGGTGGGCCGCGATGTCCATGGGCCGAGGCCGGCAGGGGAGATCCCAGGATCTCCCGTGCCGGTCCATGCAGGGCCGGCGCTATCCGAGCGCCGGCCCCGCTATGTTCCATGAAGGGCCGGTGGGGAGATCAAAGATCTCCCTCACCGGCCCACATGTGCTCAAACGCGGCCGCCGGCGGGG